TGTCAATTTCTTATTTAGTATTAATAAATTGATAAATTAGTAATTGACAAGATGTAATGATCCAAAGAATAATAAGAATAGAAATGAAAAATGATAATAGGACAAAAAGGATAAAAACTTTTAGTAGTAATATTTAGAAAATTAGTAGACATGTTTGTGAAATTACCAAAAATGTTGGAACATACTGTATATAAACTATTTCCATTAATAACAGTTATATCGAAGGAGGAATTACGATTACACAAATGCATTAGCAAAAAAAAATAAAATGCAGGTACATAAGATTAGTAGGAAACTATAATATGAGCTATATAATGTCTTTTCTTTCTTCTCTTTTTTTATGAAATTGCATTACAAATGAATTACTGGAATTTAGAATTAGCGTAACTTCCAATTTCTAAGAAATATTATTTACAAGAAGTAAATAATAAATATACTTAAATATATCTAAGAATAATTTAATGTGAATTTAAAATTTATGTTTTATTAATAACAATGTTACGCGAATACATATTGTTATCGAATGAATTATTACAATTATACGTTACGCACTTAATAAACTAATATAGTTGGAGATTATCCAAAGTAAACTATGCATTAAGCTATAACATATTTACAGTACAATTTACGACTAAGCTTTACGATTAAAGTCGCATTTGTGTCTTAACGTGCGTTTTATATAAATGTATCACTGTCCCATTATATTCTCTTATGTAAGCGTCATTGACTGTTTTCATATATGTGCTCATTACATGTTCTTGTACTCGAGTGTTCTTTCTTCCAAGTGTCGCGGTCAGTAATGTCTTAATATTAATGATGTTGCGTAATGATTAGTCCGAGGCTATTTAGCAGAGATTATTTAGACGCGTTGTTTAACGTCGTTAGCCTTGTTTCATTTTCTGGTAGTAAATTTTTTGGTATTTTAGTGGATCTGTGAGATGTGTATAAAGTGTGTAACAGTTTGACATCTAAGAATTTGTTAGCTTTAACAGAAATATTTGTCATTTTCAGTGATGTTTAATTTATTATTTCACTTTGACGTATCACACTAGAATTATTAAATCGGTCAAAATGAATAATTACAAATGTTTCATTTTTGCAGTTAATAGAAACTTGCGATTATGTGCTTCTAGAAAAATTAATATTACATTTCATCAAAATAAAAACATGATTATATATACATATGTAGGATATACATTTTTAGGGTTCGAGAGTGAGTGTATGAGAACGCTTGGACCTTCCTCGAAAGTCAAGGATAATAAACAGCGACCTCGGGTTCGGCTCGAGCGTTTAGAGTGATATTTGGAGTGTGTGCGGAAGGACAAATGACCCGGCGCAAGGATCAATATGGACGGGATATTTATGACTGTATCGAGTGCGAAAAACGAAAGTTTAGGAATGCGTCTGAGTGTTTGAGGTACCCGGTCCACCGAGGACGAGGACACGTGGGAAATGAGTGATCGAGAAAGAAAGCCTGTGTATGAAAGAAGAGGGACTGTAGGCTTAAAACAAGGGTGCAAGGACACGGGTGAGTCAGTGCAGAGTGTAAAGTGTACAGTGTGTGAAGAGTTAGAGTTTATGGTCAGAGCGTTAAAATCAATGTCAGAGTCAGAGCGCATAGAGTAGGCCGAGTGTTTGGTATTAGCGTTAGAGTTGTAGTATTAGACTAGCCTTAAACTGTACCAAGCAATAGTTTATATTTTAAATATACATTATCGTTATTTCAAGCGTTCTCGACAGCTGACGGCGCGTCACCTACTGTCCAAGTCGAAACGCTATCGCGCCACTTGGCCATTCATCGTCATAATATAAACGAAGCGCTATCGCGCCGCTTGGGTCTTCTCGTACCCACTTATTGTTAGAGGCAGCGCAGTCGCGCTGCTTGGGATTCCTCGTCGGTGTTTCTTCAAAACCCTCTGGGACTCAAACGGTTAGATTCAAAACCATATTGTTTCTCCCTTGTGTACGCTTTCCTTACTTCCTCCTTATCCCTTACCTTACACATATTTATCTTTGTTATACCACTTTAATTGATAATATCTATGTTCAGTACCTCTGTTTACCCAATATATTGTTTACATATAAATAAAAGTTTATCTCGATTGATAATCGTCGTGTAATTATTACCAAAGAAGGTTGCCATTTACAACATTGAACGCATTTCCTCTTCTACTTCCTAAATTTTGCAGTACGGTAAAATTATAACTCACAATCAGTTACAATTTCCAGACGTATGCTAGATAAAATGGGAAAAATTGGATAAAATGGACTTCGAAAATATAGCATAATCGTAACAAATAGTAGATTTTTGATATATTTTGCATTTCTTTTCCACGTTCATAAGTATTGCATATAAATTTAAAAATTATTTACATATAAAAATGTTAAAAATATCGAAAACGGGGACAAAAATAAAAAAACAATAAGAAATAAATAATTTTGTGAATTTCTTTTCTTGAAGATATAATTTTTTAATAAAAATCAGTATTTAATAAAAGTTTTTTATAAATTTTGGTAATAATCGCAAAGAATAACATCACTATCACATAAGGAACACAAAATAAGTGATTGTAACACAACAGAAAATATAATTGTAATATAGACTAGCGCAGTCCATATTAGCATCACCTGCCTCTTTTTACTTAAGAATTTCACTATAGTAGTAATATTTCTGAGTGACTAAATACAGTATTTTGAATACTCTGTCTTATAACTAACTACATCTCTATGGATAATATATTACATTTGTTAATTAATATGAGAAAAAATATAAATAGGGCTTACCTTGAAAATGTTCCTAGACGAGCAAAAACAAAAACTTCCACTTTTTAGTTATTCGTATTTAATATTCGTGTCAATTATCGACACGTCGTAGTACCTACTTAATTAAAAGAAAGAAGTCCATATTACAACCCTGGTTTATATTCCCACCTTTTTGCTTAATATTTCAAAGTCAACCAAATTCTTATGATTCAGATCTCTTGTTTTGAATTCTCAAATTGATTTCAATATTATTGTCAGACTATAGTTACAAAGTACGAAAATTAACAGCTCTCTCACCTATGATTTCAACTACTATCTCTCGCCTTAATGAAATAGTAGTTCGTTACAATAGCTATAATAGGATAAATCATATTTGCACAATTTACTTTGAAAAAAATAAAACGAATTATTGATAGATAAATGCAGAACGTCTATGTAATATTATTTAGGGCGTCTTAACAATATTCTATTTATATTTTATATTGTAGATTTTAGTAAATTTAATATGTGTACAAATAAATAATCAACTCCAGTAAAGAATTGAATAATTTTTGAAAGCATAAAAGTATTTCAAGATATAACTTCGATCCACGTGCCGCTGACAATTGATTGTCAATACACTGGATCAGAGGTTTTCAATTGTTTTTTTTACCTTACATACCGCCGATGGACATGTGATTAAGTCACATATCCATTGGTACCCATGTAGGTAATATCCATACAAAGTAATATTACTTTATTGTATATAAATAAAAAATTTTATGTGATTTGGTTCAGGTTATATTCCATTTGAGAATATATAACGCACTAATCGATGCCAGAATATTCGATAACGTAATATTCGATACTAGTATTCGAATAATATTCGAATACCAATAGTACGCGTATCTCAGGTTGAGAGCAAGATTTTGCACTCCATATTCATCTTTATACAAAACACATTCATCTTTTTGCAAATCAAGCTCTTTTACATATTTGTTTCCTTAAAATATACTAATAAAAATCAAATCCAATATAAATTGATTAGTCCGAAATTAAAAATTTTATTACATGTATATGAACGCAATTTAATTATAATATTATAATAATATTTAATCATAATGGTTTGCTTCTCGCTGATCATGATAATTTCATATCACATATTCGTACAATAATTATGACAATCTGGGCAAATAATGGTTGTAATAAAATGATTAATAACATTGAACAAAAGTTCATGATTCAAAGGATCAGCCAAAATATTTTTTGTATGAAATTTAATTTTTGGAAAAACGTCTTCGATAGTGTTCATTATTGGAGAACATGGTGGTATAAATAATAAAGCGTGTTCAACAAAGTCACGCACTTACCGACTACGAGGTGAATTCTATTTTGTGAAAGGGATAAATTTGATTTATGAAAAAATGAATTTGATTTGCGAAAAAGTGAGTATATCCTGTAGAAGGATACATTTAGGATGTAAAAACTATACAGGGTAAGTCACATAACTTGTACACAATTATTCCTTTAAACGTTGACACGAACAGTGCACATTTCATTCAAAAAAATTCATTGTCTTAATATTTCATAAACAAATGAATATATTCTCTTCGATACCGTGCAATTTCGATTTATAACACTTTTTGCGGAACACATATTTTAGAGATTGTACGTTATGAATAAGTTATACGACTTACTCTGTGTAACACGTCTTCACAGTCGCCAAACGATTTCTTGTCGAAAAATAATTAAAAAATGCAAGATTAAAATTTTGCATTTTCGCTCCTTTTACGGAAAAAACGACTTCAAAATATAACGGTTTGTATTATTATTACAGATAACCTGCACGATCAAAGATAAATTTACTACAACCCTTTACCGTATTATATTTAAGCATAAATTTAACAATGTTTAACTTAAAAATGTTTAAATTTTGTACACAAATATTCACATCATGCAATTAATTATTAATATTAATTATTTAATATAGAATTTTTAAAAACGCGAAGTAAAGTTGCACTAATTTATATATATTCTTTTTCTTTGAACGATATCATATGTATTTCTTTCTTAATTAGAAATTAATAATATAATATGATTTAATTTAATTAATTACTTATTTGACATATGTGCGAAATTAATGTTATAAGCAATCTAGCATTTCATAATGTAAATAAGAATTGCATAAGTAACGTGTAAGAAAATTTGTGTAAGGAAGCCATAATTCTAAATGACAAATAAGAAAATCTAATGCGTACCAGTTATATTTTCTAAACCGATGGGATGCATACATGTGACACCACAATCATGCCTGCAACATTTTGCTAAATCTGGACAACGAGAGTCGTCGATGCAAGCTATTAAGCAAACAGCTTCGAAGGGTGACATGGATGCTTTATCAGGACAGTAACCAGGTTTTGTGTAATTGGATGCCAAGCAATTTTCCATACACTAAAACAAAATAATATATCGAACAATTATATACATATGCATATGTATACTGTATATAATACATATATATACACATATAATATTACACATACCATGTAAATTTTAAAATGGTGTAAACGTCAAACAAGAAATATATACAAAAGGGGACAATACAAATAAAAAGTATTTATTACTTTCTACAAATGTCTCCCACCATTTTGGCACTTAATTTCTCCGAAAAGAGAAAGAGAGATACATGATCTACCGATCTTTAAAAATATTTTTTAATTTCTCCATTTAAATGAATTTGCAAAAGCAGAAATGGATAGAGATCCGATGTAGATAAATACATTTACCGATAGAGAGAAGTCAAGACACGGGTAATCCTTTGCGAATTTTTTTATATTCTTTGCTTCGTTTCTCTTGACCTTTAATACTCTTGTCAGTATAATATAGATATAATAAATAAAGCATGTATTGCAAGTGAGGGTAAAAAATATTATTTATGAGAAAATATACATATATAAGAAAATTGTTACACGAATGTATAAAATAATTTATACAGAGTACTTTTTCATAATTGAAGCTGTTTGTAGCTACCTTAATGTTCTATTAGAGTATTGAAATCGTCAATGAAAGTAGGATAATATTCGACGTATTCAATGCAAAACGTCGTTTCCTCCTTTCTCTTTATTTTCTATATATTTTTCTTTTTTTTTTTCTTTTTTTTCAATTCATGAAAACTAGATTGTATGATCTAGGTTTGCGATGTTGATGTGATTCAATTTTTAGAAAGCAATTGTACGTCTATTAGATGTAACAGTCTATATTTTTCCAAGAAATATTTTTCTATTAACAATTTTTATAATTTCCTTAACAAAAAGATCAAAAGATCCACGATAAAAAATTTGAATGATCGAAATGAAAGATTAAGAAATTGAAAGATTGAATATCGCGTATTTCGACACATTATACTTTCATAAAAATCAGCTACTTATGAACCTGAAATCGATGTAAAAATGAGAAATTTATTATTCCTGGTGATTAAAACTTTTTAAACTTTAAATACATTTTTCTCGAAACAAAATTCTCAAAGATAGTTATTATTCGAAAACTGGTCAATCGATTTATTTCAGCTAGATGTTACAACATTGCGCAGATTGTAACGTAAATAATTTTTTATTTTATTCGTTATTCTTATCGTTTTGTAACACTTTTCTTTATACCAGATGATGTACTACAGGTTACCGAAATGATTAAAATACCAATTATTGCAATAAAGATGATAAAAAAAAAAGTTAATCTGTACATTGTGTCAATAAGTAATTCTACATAAAAATAATTTGATGTAAGCAGAGTTTTTTAAAAATGATATATGACATACTGATTACAAGTTACAGGTATGTTTGTGCCTTTTACCAATGGTTTTCAACGAACTGGGTTTTCAGTCACCTTTATTATGCTTATTTCGAAAAGAGTCTCAGCTGCCAATCTCCTTCTTGTTTACATATGTTATGTAACATGGAAAATTTTATTTTTTACTAGCGGATCCTTGGACATTAGGTCAAATAAGAAGCTTAATCATAATTACCAATTTCTATGTAACTTTTAACGTTCAATAATAATTTAAAAAATCTCAAGTATGGAAAATTTTAGCCTTCTCTCTTAACAATTCACGAGATATTGTACATTGAAGTCTTAAAAACTGAATAGAATTGTTTTTTCATGGACATTTGAAGATAAAATGCAAACATAGAAGCTTGCTTATTACTAATAAATGCAGTACAGATCAATTTTAATACTTTGTAAGAAGTATTTCATTTAATTCTGTTTTAATCTTCGCAATCTTATTTTATCGAACTGGAAGATTTTCAGAAAAATCACAAAACTTTGAATAATTTTCAAACGAGATCACGTGTCGTTCGATTAATAAATCTTTTGCAATTAAAAATTACTCGGATATTGAAAAATATGGTATCATTTATAAATAAATTCAAAAAACAGGCAAGCAGTAGCAAAGTTTTACACTTTTTAAGTTAAGCTAATCAATAAAGATACAAATATCACAAAATCTTATGAATAAAAATTATTATAAGTAATTAACAATTATTTAGCGTAGTTTGCGCTGTAAGCATAACATATAATGATACTAATAACTACTATCATCGTACATATATCGATATTATCGTCTGATATAATGACGTATATCATATATAGGGGAGAAGGTGGAAATATGAACCAAGGCTGTAATATGGACTTCTCTTTTTCAATTAAGCAAATTGATACAAATATCACAATTAGTGCTCATAAACGCTATGAAACAAAAATTAGTGCCATTCGTTTTTGTTTTCTTATAATTCACTTATGCACTGTTATACATATTCATATTCCTTATGCATTGTTATATATATTCATATTCCTTATGCACTGAATGTGACAGTGATATTTTTATTTATGATTATTACCAAAAATTTTTAAAGATGTTTATTATATTAAATTCTATTAAAAAATTATAATTCCTTTAAAAAAAATTTACACAAGTATTCATTTTCTATCGCTTTTTATCTTTTGTCTTTTCTGAACTCTATAATATTTCTTTATTTAAATAACTTTGAAATTTACATGTAATTACTATAAATCTAAAAAAAAATGCAAAATCTGGTAAAAAAACTATTATTTGTTAACTTTCTTAACTTTTCAGCTATGATTCATATTATCATCCTATTTTCTCTAACCAAATATTTGACAAAGTTAAATAATGGTTAAGTTTTCTCGTTACAATATTACTGGTTAAATGGGATGGAATCGTTATCTTAGACCTATGGATTATCATTTTCATATTTTACCGATGCGATTTTCATATTTTTAACATGTTTTTGCCGAACATGAAAAAGTGGTCCATATCTTCATCTTTATACGTATATTATACATGTATACGCATATAAAATGGCCGGGTAGAAAGGGATCAGCTAAATGTCTTTATTAATTATATGAGAATATTTCTGAGTGATCCTTTTTCAAGGAGCATATTTAACCACGGAAAGAACTTTTTTTTTAAGAAAGGTAATTCTTATATGAGATTGTAAGATCATCGAAATTCTATTAACTTAAATTTAACATGTATTTGAAGATATGCCCACTGCGTCAAATAACAGTATATGTTTCGTGAAAAAAATCAAATACATATTTCAAACACGATAAGTTCAGAAACAAATGCACCTTACTTAGTATTTTTATATTCGCAATACGTCATTCTATCAAAGTGGAACATAAAAAATTGGACAATTCGATTGAAAAATTGACCTTTATATCGTATCGTTTGAAATAACGAAGGAATTTAGATAGGCAGAGTTTGTGAGACGCGCTGTACATAATATAAAAGTTTTTTTTAAGTAGCTTCTTCCTTTTTTGGTCCTTTAGATAACATCGCATCAACATCTTGGTCAAGAGCGACGGCATTATAGTTTTTTATATTTTGTTAGATTTAAAGAAAAAGACAGTGTAATTCGTCTATTTTTTTGTAAAACACATAATTTATATGCATGGGCAGTAATTACTTATGTTTATAGCTAATGAAATATTAAAAGGGTTTATGCGAATGCAGTTTGCATAAATTAAGTACCTCATCTTCTACGATTGCTTATTTACTGAATTATGCGGAAAAGCAATTAATGCCAACGTCGGTAAATAAAGAAAAAGATATAAATTCCAGTGAACTTCCCTACTGTTAAAAATCCAGTCATAAGTAATAATAATAAATAAGTAACGTAAGTAAAGATAAGGTATTATAAATTATCGAAATTACAACGAAGATCGAGAATAACATCGATTATGGGTTTAGAAATAGAATCAATCGAGATGAAACTCTATTAACAAGTATTTTCTTTTTCTTTACATTAACCCTAGATATCTGAATATATTAGATTCGTCTAGTTAAACTCGTTTCCAGTTTTCTTCTTGACTCTAATACGTTTCTTGTTAATTTGCACAAGGAAATTTTTCTGCAGATTCATCTACAAGAATGTGAAATTCAGTGGACCATTTTTACACAGTCACTAATTCTTGAATATTCTAATACTCTTCTAAAGGAGACGATGAACGTTTCTTTCAGATTCGTTTTATTCATATTTTCTTCGATAATATGTAAATTTCTCAAGCTAGGTATTGTCACATACATCTCTGCTATGTTAGCACCATGCTTAAATATAGGTTGAACATTTATTATATCATTGAATTATGATCGATTTATGATCATTGAATTTTTCTATGGTTTATTTTTACCATGTTAGTCATCCTCGATGAATTTACTTTCATCTTTGAAAAGGATATTATGCGAGAAACTTAGCATATGCCTGGAAAGGCAAGTATTTACTCGCGTACTTTGCAGCAAATTGCTTTGCTTTATTCTTCGTACGATATGCAATTTTCTAATGATTTCATTTTATTTCGAGCAGATATTTTTTATATGCATTATAAGCTAATTACTGTAAGCGATTAGGACACTTCTTAATGGATCTATTTTAATTTTTTGGCAGTTTAAAATTCTTTTATCATTTATTTCTAAAATATTTTCTACTATTCCGTCTTTCGAGGATATACATGTGTTGTCGTAGCATGACTAGTGATTAATAATTGTAAGTTTGATTTCAGTAGAAATATTTTAATAGAGGACTTAGTAACTTGAGTTTTAACGAATCAAAACTTTGTTTTATCATTCGTAACGCGACTTTGAAGTATTTTCGAAGTGACAACATCTGTTTTTTCTATTTCCCCCTATACACGCTTCCAACATTGTCTTCGACATTCTTTTATGCCATATTCTATAACTTTTTGTCGATTAATTAGCAAATTGGAAACAAGAAAAGATAAAACTACGACAGATATTAAGCTGGTCGTTAGCTTATGTAGACGACAAAGAAATCAATAAGTACATGTAGCGTTTAACTGTAATCTTGATTTCATATAAAATGCATTAAGGTGGTCCTCAGATATAGAGGACAAAATTTTTTTTTCGTGTCTTA